CCGCCAGGTCAGCCAGCCTCTCTGCCCTCTGAAAAATTTCCTGTCTTTTGTTAGGAGAGACATGTTCAGCGTTGTCAATGCCACCTCCTACAAGGAGGCCTGCTACAGGCGCCCTGGTTGACAGACGGAGGGCGACTGAGTAAAGCTTGATGGCAGATGGTTGTACTTTCATTTAGAACCTGTTTTGAAGACGGCGTACTCTTACTCTGCTCGTAGCGTCTCCACATTTTATAACATAGTCCTTTACATTTCTGAGCATGAAGTGTGACACAATCACACACAACATGACCTTCACTTTATAACCTTTGTACAAGCGTACGATCATTTTATAAGCATCTGTTCTCGACTCTATCTGTACAACACGAACAATTCAAGGGAAGTTGAACAGCACTCAGCCACTTTATTCCAACATTCCACGACAACTTGAAACTGCAACATTTCATTATTTCCAAATGCCTGTAAGAAAGAGGAATATTGAAGCTGGAAATACTATGATGGGAATATTTTGTGTATAATAATGTATTTCAGTGAAAACTTAGGGCTAGTTTGAGCTGTAGAACTCAAGATGACCAAGTTTTGTTTTAACATTTAATCTTTGCAGCAGGCTTTGTTTTTAGCAGTAACATTCTCACACATTGCCGTGCATCTTTTTATTCTTGGCTTCATTCAAATTGTCTGCGGTACTCTAATAGTGACAGTTTGGTGCTATTAGTAATCACGCTCCTCTTCTCATTTTGGTCTTTCTGAGGCTAATAAACGTTTTTCCGAACAGACGTACGTTACTGTAAAACAGTAAAATAAATGCCGTCATGTTTTAATGCTCTGTTCTCTTAATGTTTTTTTTCTTTCTTCAGCTATGACCCATTTGGTTTGGATTTTGAATACTGAATAAACAAATAAAAGCTGTTTCTAATCTTACTTTGTCTTACTGGTGATTTTTTTTAAAGCGATGATATAAAATCATTGCATCTAAAATGTACCCAGTTATTTTAAAAGTCGTTAAAAGAATTTCTGCAAGAATATCAACAATGTCATTTCATACACCTGTTTTGTCACCCTTGTAAAAATGTCTTGCTTTAGGTGTTAGCTGATCCTTCTACCACCATCTTCCATTTCAACTCAAAAATACTGTCTCTGATTCTGACTAAGCCATTTCAACACCCTGGATTTCCACTTCTCGGCCCATTACTTGGTGGATTTTCTGTTGTTTAGGATCATTATTCTGTTGAAATGGCTCCCTCAGGTCCAACTTTCTGACTGATAACTTGAATTATCTTCAAGCATATGCTTCAAGCTGCCAAATGTGCCCTGTGTTAATGAAGCCAAACGGCTCTTTGTTTCATCCGCGAGAGTAGATCCTCCCAAAAGGCAAAAGTCTTTATGGAGCAATGTGTGTGGATAGCACACCGTTCACAAAGCTCAAACCTCTTTCTTTCTACACGTTTAGATAAAGACAGTTCCAGGAGTTTCCCTTTGATTCTGGGATGGACAGTCTGTATTAGATCTTCTAAAATTGCTTGTCAGACATGAACATCTACAAACATTAGATAATGCTTTGGATCTTGGCATGATTATGCCCCACACTGACAGTGAAGAGACAGCAGTCGCTATATTTGACATTCACCAGGTCACAAGTCGCCCATCTAGGGTTGGGATTGGGTTTTATTTTGGCTTAATCTTCAACCACTTACAGAGTTTCCTATTTGTAACTCCCACATGAAAAGGCTTTTGACAAAATAAACTAACAATAAAGGCAAAATAAATGTATGAATGTATTGAAATGTAAAGTGTGAAG